AAATGGGGCTAATTTGAGAGCGGTAAAGTGGCAGGGCTCAGCGGTCCCCTCTGCCCAGTTTCGAACCTTCCAATGCCTCTAGGGCGCTGGCCATGCCCGCGGCGAACTGTGCTGCGTCCTCCTTGCTCCCGAAGTTGAGGCCCCAGACCTGGCGGGCGTCGCGCCACTGGTGGAAGCTGGGGGTGGCTTGGTTATACTTGATACCCCGGACGATGGCACAGTTGATGACCACCTTGGCAGGAGGGGAAAGGCGGGTGAGGATGGTGGGGGCAGCAGTGGGGGGCAGAGCCCGCACAGGAAGAGGGAGAGGGAGGCGGAGGCTTCACCTGCTGGTCTGGCTGCATCTTCCAGCCGACAACCCGGAAGGAGTTGGCCGTGGGGTTGTGGTAGATCTGGACGCGGCTGAAAGCCTGGGGGCCCGTGCCTGCCGGCAGCCATCGCTTGTTGGTGTCATCGTAAAGCATCACGGTGGCCCAGCTGGAGCAGATCACGGTCTCACTGCGGGGTGGGGGGGGAAGGAGAAGGGCAGGTTAGCACAGCCGAGCACGGGCCCCACCCTCCACGGGCTGGTCACTTCCATCTGGGTCTCCCGGGGAGATTTGGAGATTCACGGCGTATGAGGGGGAGACAGGCCTGCAGGGAGACCGAGGCAGAGACTGAGAGAGAGAAGCAGACAGGTGCGACAGAGACAGACTGAGTGGAAGGGAGACAGACAAAGAGGCCAACTGGGAATGCGAGGGAGAGGAAGAGTCAGACGGATAGACGGCAAGAGACAAATGTACTGACGGATGTGGGGAGACGGGTGAGGGAGGGAGAGCCAGAGACAGAGAGACAGGCGGAGGGAACAAATGGGAAGACAGGGGCTGGGGAAAGAGACAGACAAGCACCTAGTGAGTGAGGAGAGACAGGCAGACAGTCCGAGACAGACGGACGGAGATTCAGGGGAGCGGGTAAGAGTTGGACACGGGGGCTCAGGAGAAGCAGGACAGGGGGGACCCGGCAGGAGCTCTGCACAGCACTGGGGACCAGCCCCCCGCCCGGTGCTCTCAGACTCGGTTTCCCTGTCTCTGCCAGGGTGCTTGACCACCCCCCTTCCCCCACAGCCCTCACTCCCCGGCTCAGGTCAGGGGAGGAAGCGGAGGCTCAGGGAGGGGAAGGGTGAGGTCTGCAGTGGGCGGAACATGGACGCTAGATCCCAGGCTCTTCCGCCCCATCCATCCGGCCCCCGGGCACCAGCCGCCATCAGCAGACGCCCCCTGTTCTCCCAAGCCTATGTCTTGGGCGGTGATCCAGACAGGCCCGGCCCCACCCTCTAGGGCAGTAGACAGTCCTGTCCAGGGACAGTGCCAGCCCAAGGCCAGGCTTGGGGTGCTCAGAAGGAGCACCCGCCCTGGCCTGGGGGCTAGGGAGGACTTCCTGGAGGAAGTGACATCTGACTCAGCTTTGGCAGGGAGGAGTCAGGACACGGGTTCTGAGTTCAGGATCTGATATTCAGAGACGTGGGTTCAAATGCTCCCTGAGACGCCTACTCCATGTGACTCAGGCCAGCACCTTCCCACCCAGGTACTCATCTCCCTTGCCTGCAAACTGGGGAAATGACAGTCCCCACCTCCCGGGCCAGTGGGAGGAGTAAACGAGTCTGGGCACAGACAGCCCTTGGCAGAGTGCCCGGCACGTACTGAGTGCTTAGTAACTGTCAGCATCCCTTTCACGGCACCCTGAACGGACACCCCTGGGGAGTCAGACGGCCACATCTCCCCGGAGCCCCCATCAGTCCTGGAGAGGTTCCATGCCCCCTCCCCCAGTGAGGGAACTCAGGCTCCCAGACGGGAAGTGACTTGCCCAAGGTCACACACAGACCAGAGGGAAGCACTGGTCCCCACCCCGCCCCACCCCACCCCCAGCAGACTTTTTCCTGAAAAGAGGAAGTTGGTGGTCAGGGGTTTCCGGGGAGATAAATTATACTTGGCAATGGTTCTGCCTCTGCCGGGGCTGGGGGCTGGGGCGTGACGCTGACGTTGTAAAAGACAGGGCAGGGAAAGCCCCTCAGCAGGCCCAGGCCCCGGTTCCTAGGCCAGGAAGCTGAGCCCCCCGTTCCCCCTCGCACGTTTATGTAATCGCAGCGCCTCCCTCCCATCGGGCACTAGAGCCGGTCAGGCACTCTAAGCCCTTTTTGCAAAGGGACACCCATTTTATGCCCACGGCAGCCCTCCAAGACGGGCACTATTTTATCTTCATTTTGCAAGTGAGGACTATAAATGGAGGCCCAGAGAGGTGGAGTGACTTGGCCTCGATCACACAGCTGGTAAGCAGCAGAGCAAGGACTTGAACCCCCGCCACCTGGCTCTCAAGCCCGCAGTCGTAGCCACCGGGGAGACTGCGTGGGCCCCACCCAAACATCAGGTGCTGTTTCCAGACAAGTGCGGCCTCGGGGACTGTTTCTGGCTCCCGCTGCCCCTGGCAGAGCAGGGTTAAGGCCTCGCCCACACCTGCCACCCACACCCAGGGCAGACTCTGGCCAGGCGCCCGGGGCTACGGTTGCCACCCCACCCTGCCTGCACTTTGCTCTCCCAAGCAGCCTTGCCCTGCTGAGTCTCTGGCCCGGCTGGAGAAGCGGGGAGTTGACCCTCTCCAGGCCACAGCGTCCCCGTGAACAGCAGAAGGATCTTATTGAAACACAAGTCGCAAGTCGGATCGTGGCCCTTCTCTTCTCGGAAGCTCCCGCGGCTCCCGCGGCATAAAAGCCAACTTCTCTCTGTGGCCTGTCTGGTCCGTGTTCATCTCTGATCTCATCCCTTCCCTCCCTCAAGCTCGCTGTTCCGGCCCCACTGCTCTGTTCCAGCCCCGCAGTCGTCGGGCCCTCCTTCAACATGCCAGACACATTCCTGCCTCGGACCTGTGCACTTCCTTATCCTGGGTTCTCGCCTCCTTCAGGTCTCCCCTTAGGATGTCACCTCTTCCGGGAAGCCCTCCTCAACTACTCCATCTGGAAAAACTCCTCCCTCTCATCCCATGTTCCCTATTTCTCAGCAGGGATCCTTCCTGACAGATCCCTGTCTCCCCTACCAAACTGTCAGGACAGCAACTCTTCGTCTCTGTTCACCGCTGTGTCCCCACAACCTATGTACCTGGCACGTAATGGACACGCGATGGTTGCCACATTCGCCAAGCAGTTGTTAATCGTTAAAGGGAAAACTCTTAACGAAGGCGCCCACCTTTATGGGTTAGCCTGCGTCCCCGACACTGTTGTAGGTACAGAGCCCCAATTTGCCCAATGAACGTTGGGACATGGGCTCTGGTGCTTTACCCGTTTTACAGATGAAGCACTATGGGCACAGAGGGGTAAAGACACTTGTCCCAGGTCATTTGGCAAGTTAAGCGGAGGGGCTCCTGTCTGTACCCTAGTCTACCCAAGTTCTTAGTCTCATTTAAAGAGGAAACAGCTAAGCTGAATTTTTTAAGAGGCAAGGTATAAAGTGGTGCATATCAGAGGTTTAAAAAAAAAAAGGTGAGAGGATATAAATACATCTGCACACGGGGTGGTGAGGTGATACAGGCAGGGGCTGCTTCTCAGGAGACTAACCACGGCCGGAGGGCCCCTGGGGGCCTGAGGAAGGATGGAGGAAATGGACGTTTAGGACGGTTTACCCTTTTGAATTGCTTATTTCTTTTTTCTTTTTCAACCCTGGGCTGGTGTCACCTATAAGATGCTGCTTCGTTACTCAAGTTCAAAAAATAAAACTGTAAACCAGGCAAAAAAAAAAAAAAAAAAAAAAAAAAAAAAAAAAAAAAAAAAAAAAAAAAGGCTGGAATGGAAAATCCCACAGCCCGGGCAGCAGGGAGTGAGTTTGAAACGGGGTCCGCCTGATTCCCCCAGTCTCCCGGGGTCTCGCACCCTTGATTTGACACGAGAGAGCCTTAAATCCCAGCCAGCCCAGGACCTATACCTTCCCATAAGTCCCTACATTCTGGAAAGTGCTAACATGTGGTGGATGACAAAGGGCTCAAGTCACCCCCGTGCTATGTGGCTTCACCTCTCTGAGTTGCAGTTTCCAGCCCTGGAAGCCGTAACTCACCGGGTTTGCTGTAAGGATTCAAAGAGATAAGAAAAGCCCTGAACTCAGGACCTGGGACTTGGTACTGGCTGAACAAGGGAGTCAGAACAGGAGCAAGAGGGCTCCCGGTCACTGAAGGCAATCACGCATAGTCACTCTGGTTTACTCAAGCCTTCCAGATTAGAGGCTTGCCCTTCCCTCCCTGCTTCATTCCCCCCTCAAGATTCACCCCACAGCCTCCTTAAACCATAAAACTTGGAATCCAGTCCCCCCAGGCGCATACCACCTTTCCAAACTACAAACCTTGGAAGCCATCCTGGATGAGGAACCAGGTCTTTGGGCTTGTGTGGATTCCTTCTAGTCCCTCCTCCCCAAAAAGCCTCAGTTTCCCATAAATGAACAGGAAGAAAGGGTTCTTTTTGCTTCTCTGCATTATCTTAAGTGTTCATACAGCAAAATCACGTTACTTGTATTTTTTTTTTAAGAGCATTAAAAGCCCTGAGACGGCCCTG